CTCCACCATCCGACACACGACCATTACAGCCAACATCAACGTATAAAAAGTTGTATTCGGCATCAACAACTGCCATTAGCACTATACTATGTGTACCTTTATAGTTATAGAAGGTGCTTCCTGAATTAGGTGGTGCTATAATTTGCACATGTTTGCCGTCAACCGCCCCTATGCAGTTCGGGAAGTTCCATAGTTTGTTAAATTTGAAAGCAACGACATTCCATTCTTCCTGCGTGGATGGTATCTACATACATATCAAAAGAAATAATAAGTCAATTAAAAAGCATAAATATGTGTGTATTTAGATTTTTCATACCTTTATGTATGCACCTTTTAACGCTTTATAAATAGCATCACAAACAATTGGTACGAAAAGTGATATGGTATTTGGGGCAACACGGAAGAAGACCGAAAGACTTTTATAACTGTCACCAGATGCAAGAAATCGAAGTGTCACAGCTAAGCGTATTTGTTCGGGAATAGCCTTTCGCATGTTTGTGTCTTGTTTTTTAATATATGGTGACACTAGTTGCAACAATTCGATAAACGTTTCGTCATCCATCCGGATAAAATTTTTAAACAAAAACTTTTGGTTTTCGATTTCCCGGAATTCCATTAATGTTTTGTCATATGCACCATCAGTGCTTCTTTTTGTGAGCCACTCTCTGACCCACGTACTTCTATTTACTTTTTTTTTTCTTTTCTTTCCTTTCATTTTTCTCATCGTCAAATGCACACACCATAATTATAGCTGCTGCAATTTTCTTTTTTTTTAAAGAACACATCTTAATAAAACAAATTTTTAAATGCTTTAACATTTTTAATAAACAAACTTTGACACATAGCAGCTGCTTCTGATATTTGCCGTGTAGTAGAACAATCGTGTGACTGAAGTTGGACAATAATTGTCACTTGATGGTTTTGAGACAATATGCGGCAATCAAATTTATGAAAAGTTGGACAATCATGTGACCGCAGAGAATTTGATTGTGACAATTTATTTATTGTAGTAAAACTTTGGACAATAAAAATTGGTTTAAATTGGCGCATTGCGACAATCATGTGATCCCACCTTAAGAAAGAAAGAAATTCATTATGAAAATCGGAGAAATGATCAAAGTTGACGGGCAGGTTAGCAGTCGTAACATCGCCCAGGAGCTAAAAATCGGCCATAAAACTGTTTAAACCATTTACACAAAGCTGGTTTAAAAAAAAGCTCTACGTGTGGGTGCCATACCAATTAACAGAAAAATAGGATGGATCGAATTTCCATCTGCGAAGCCTTTTAATAAATTTTAACATTTTTTTGTTATGTCCAAAATTAAAACATCGATAATTTTAGCACGGACTCGGAGTCAGGACATTTTTCTATATATGTGTAAAGAGATTTACTGTATGAAAGTAGAAAATCATTTCATGCTATTTTTCCGTAAATAACGATTTCGATGAAAAACATCGACTTTAAGGTGGCCAATTTATTATTTACTTACTGCAATTTATTTGCAGATATATTAAAAAAAAACAACTTTGATTTGGTAAATCATGTAAATTAAGAATCGAAAAAATCACCTACAGATTAAAAAACAATAAAAATTGACAACAATTTGTACAGTACACCTAACATGGGGAAAATCACCCTTAATATAGAAAATAAATGTCCGAATGTACCAGAAAACTATAACTAATTCTAAAAAAAGACAAGCGAAATCAGCGACAAAATATACAAAACCATGACAAACATATAAAAACATATATTCAGCCGCAGCGCTGAACGGTTACAAAGTGAATGCCGTCCTCGGAGCTCACCCCAGCAGCAGCAGCTGAAGAACGTCAGGTGCCCAGAAAAAACCAGAGTAGTTTTGGCCCAGTTACGTTCTGGATGGTGTAGTCGGCTCAATTCGTATTGACCACGGATTGATGACCAGATGCAGGATGTCTGCCCAGCATGTTGTACAGGCCCTCATACCACACTGCACTTATTCAATTGCCCAGCCAAATCTACCCACCTCACTCCGGAAATTTTGTGGTTACCACCAGTGGAGGTAGCTGCATTTCTAAATCTGGAGAAGAACTGGAGGAAAATTAAACAGGAAAATATACAATTCATATAAACTGCTACAAGAACAACAATAAAACCATCACATATACACGGGGTTTTCTGTTAATTATTTGTGATTGTTTGTAATGTTTCCCGAGGGAGTTGTTAGTCTCCTACCGGGCGCATCCCCAGGTGGCGGATAGGGGTGAGGTGGAGGATCATACTAATCAATTACAACCAGCGCAGGCTGTATGTAATAGAATAGTTTGATCACCCACCTCCAGGGCTTCTGTCCCCGCGGACCAAAACTAACTATGGGGGTGTTCCCCTAAAACAAAAAACAAAGATGGAAAAAGAAGAAAAAATAATAAACGTTACGGTGCAGAGCCTAAATAACTCAGTACCGGCGGGTGTCGTTGATCTGCCCACGAGTCACGCCCCGTCTCCTACAGATGTGGGTGTCTTGGAATCTGTAGTCGAAGGTATAGCTACAAGCACTCAGCTTTCAGGCAACACCAACTCGAAGTTGAGGAACCACAGGGGAAGAGCAATCTCGACCCAGCCTTCAGAGACAGGAGGGGACTCAACTTCGAACTCTGAGTCTGATCATGATAATCAGACAAACATAACTGTCTTGGAGAGCCGGAAGAAAGATGAGGCTGACAAGATGATAGAGGAGGTGAGTAAAAACATCGCCAAACTCACAACTAGGAAGTAGCAGTTGTCTGGGGCACAAAGGCGGAAGTTGGCTAGATTGAACCGGATAAACAAAAAGAGCGAGTCACAGACAGAAACTCAAAAGGATAAGCCTGACCTTTCCTCCACTTCTGCGGATGCGGTAAAGAGGATAAGGTCTCCGGATGAGCAGGCGACTGTCAAATCCGCCAAAAAGAAAAAGAACTTCCCGTCTAATGATAATAAGAGAAAGCTGAGCCAAACCAACGTCAAAGGAGACTTTCACGAGAATCCACTGACGAGAGCAGACGAGGCTGGCTCTGATATCAGGAAGACGGGTGCTGAGTCGGAATCCTCCGCAAAGACCGAGAATCCCAAAAGGACCAACCGGAAGTTGCGAAAGAGGAAGATGACAGCAACAGATGGTAAGGAGCCGCCGTCTTACGCCAAGGTTGCCAGGAAGCGCTATCGAGACGAGCTCTGCTATGCAGTGATCGACGGAAATAGCGCGTCCGGCAAGCTAAAGAAGGAGACCCATAGAGAAGTATTAAATGTGGTCAATACCAAGATAATGGAGTACCTACTGGAAGGAGGGGACTCTATAGAAATGAATAGCTGCGAATTCAAAGGGGAATATCTAATGCTGGAAATTTGAAGTCCAAAAAGCATAGTAGCCCTGAGAAATATAGTGGCAAGCATTGGACCAATAGATGGAATAATGAAGCTCAAGCTGGTGAGGAAAAAAGACATTCCTCAAATACAAAAGGCTACAGTCTTCGTCAAAGGTTGGGCAGCGATTTCGACACGGAACGCATGCTCAAGGTCTTCAGCCTACAAAACAAAACGCTGCACGTGAAGAAATGGGAAGTCTTCCACAGGGAGGAGGAAGGGACTCTCCTCGTGTTAGGCTTAGACAGGTCTTCAATGACAAGTCTGGCTAAGACCAAAGGCAAGGCGTACTACGTGTCCAATGCCGTTTACTTCAAAATCGGAAAGGCAAGAATTGGAGACGATGAAGCCAAAGAAAGCAGCGAGGGGATAATTCCCAGCAACACAGAGGAGGAAGCAGATGTGAATATCACAGACTCCCAAGAAAACCGGTTACTGGAGGACAACTGATTGACGTCATCCAGATCAACCTCCATCGGAGCGAGATGGCAACCCTGGCCCTGATGGAAAAAATTATAAAAGGTAAAATACACATCGGACTGATCCAGGAACCTTAGACAATTAAAAACAAGTTCTCTGGATTAAGCCATATAAATTACCAACTCTTCTATGCAAATACGGGGTCTCGTCCGAGAACCTGTATAATATGTCATAAAAATTTATGCTTTATCTTCTCCCCAGAGTTGCCAACATCGGACGCCACTGTACTGAAACAGGGGAGTGGTAACATTTACCTGGCTTCAGTGTACATCTCGTTCGACTCGCCGATACCACCACCAACGGCGGAGCTGCAGCGACTGGCGAAGAAAGCACAGGAAACAGGTAACGAAGTACTAATTGGTAGTGATGCTAACTCACATCATATTGCGTGGGGCAGTACAAATACTAACAAAAGGGGCCAGGCCTTTTTAGATTGTTTGAATACTAACGATCTGATAACACTTAACATAGGCAATAAACCTACCTTTGTTAACAGAATTAGAGAGGAAGTATTAGATATAACATTATGTTCAGCAAACTTAATAGATGATGTACAGGAGTGGAGGGTCTCAGAAGAGCACTTCTTTTCTGACCACAAATATATTCTGTTCAAAATCCTACGGCCACCGCCGAAACCAATACACTTCCGTAACAAGTCCAAAACTAACTGGATAAAGTTCGAGAGACTAGTCAAGGAGGGTTTAGGGCAACCAAACTATGAATGCCTAGACACGAATGACATAGACAGGAACGTCAAATTAACGGGAGTAATTGTAAAGTCTTTCGAAGAAAGTTGTCCTCTTCGAGAAAGGAGATCTGCCTATGAAAAAACCTGGATGACAGGGGAGATTCGAAACAAAGGACAAGAGGTCCGAAGGCTTTACAACAGAGCACGCCGACAAAAATCCGTAGTATTCTGGGACAACTTCCACGATAAACAGAAAGAATGCAATAAATTAACAAGAACCGCCAAACACAACTCATGGAAGCTGTTCTGCGAACAGGTAGATAGCGTCAACGATGTTTCAAAAATCAAGAAATTTCTATCCAAGACCCACACCCAACCCGAAACTATGGTAGACGGCGAGGGTAATAGGATAGAAACAATCTAGGAAACACTAAGGTTCCTAATGAATGCTCACTTCCCATCGAATACACCGACAATGGACGATGTCATGACAGATAGGGAAGAAAGATCAGAGGAACCAATTATTGACACGTCAATAGTGTTAGAAGCCCTAAAAAGCTTCTCACCATTGAAAGCGGCAGGACCAGATAATGTCTTCCCCGCGTTGTTACAAAAAGAGGCGGGTTTTTTATCACCACATCTAGCCGCACTCTTTAATGCTTGTTTAAGGTTGACGTACACACCGAAAGCCTGGCAGGAAGCCAGGGTAGTCTTCATAAGCGTATTAGTGCTGACATTATTGAAGGAGTCTTCAACAATGTCTGCACTAATATGCTTATCCAATCCCCAGATACCTTCCAAGTGGACCGGGCAATCATAGACTGGGTCAACTATATGCTAAGGAATAGATGGATAAGCTTTAGCATACATGATATAATAATCAGAGACAAAGTAGGTCAGGGAACACCACAGGGAAGGATTCTGTCACCGCTCCTGTGGGTAACCACCATAAACGGACTCTTAAGGAACTTAACCGACGAAGGATTTGAACCAGTCTGTTATGCAGACTTAGGGGAAAGAATCCAAACTTACTATGCAGGAAAGCCGAAACGGTGCTAAAAAATCGCATACGATTGGGCAAAACCGAGGGGCTTAAACGTAAATCCGGACAAAACGGAGATATGTCTTTATACTAGAAAGACAAAAATAGTTCAGTACGAAGAGCCCATCTTCCAAAACAAAACGATAGCCATATCAAACAAAGTTAAGTATCTGGGAGTAATTCTAGACAAGAAACTTAAATGGAAAGACCACATACAGGAAAGGGCTGACAAGGCCCAAAGATGCTGGTGTTTCTGCAGAAGAGTCGTAGGCTCTAAATGGGGTTTCAATCCAAAGATGATACACTGGATATATAAGAGCGTTATTAGACCAATTCTAACATACGCGTCTGTTGTCTGGTGGACAGCAATGCATAAAAAATGTAACGCAAAAACGTTGCAGAAAGTTCAAAGAACGTGTTGCCTAGGTATATGTAGAGCAATGCGTACAACACCAACTAGGGCTTTGGAGGCAATATTATATATACATCCAATAGACATCCAAATAAAATATGAAGCGGCGGTTGCAGCTTTAAGAATTAAAGCAATGGAGGAGTGGATAGATACCGGACACAACACACCGCATAAAAACATTTTACAAGCAACAAATGAGTCGACTTTCAATATCTTTGATTCAGACCGTATACCTGAAACGAGAGTAGTGACACGGTGCGAAACTATAATACCAGATAGAGAACAATGGAATAGCGGAACACTAGTTCAGATGCCGCCTGGTAACTGTTGCTACACGGATGGCTCTCGACTAGGAGAAAAAACTGGACTGGGACTTTTTATCGAAGAACCGGGTACCGAAATTTCTCTTCGTCTTACGGATCACAGAACAATCTTACAGGCGGAGGTTCAAGCTATAACAGAGTGTCATAACTGGTTAGTTTCAAACCAAAGACAAAATACAGTAAATATTATTACGGACAGCAAGCAAGCTATAAATGCAATATCTTCCAGAACAGTTAAATCCAAAACTGTACTGGAATGTATAAAAACCATTAATGATTTCTCACAACAAGGACCTGTACGAATTATATGGGTACCGGGTCACCAAGGAATCATAGGCAATGAGATAGCAAATCAACTAGCCAGGAGTGCCATTGCACTACCCACAATAGAGGTGTATACCGCCAAACCCTTTAGCGAAACACCCCAAGAAATGAGGAAATGGGCACATGAGACCCACAAACTCCTTTGGGATAATGAGGGGACAGGAAAAATCACCAAAATCTTACGGCGCGACCTAAGTGAAGACAAAACTAAGCAAATCCTAACGTTAAACAAAAAAGAAATAAGCCGACTGACGGGAATTCTGACGGGACACCTCGGCCTAAAGGCACATCTACTCAAGATTGGATGCGAAGGAAGTAACGAGTGCAGAGCGTGTGGGGAAGACAGTGGAACATTTCCTATGCCATTGCCCAGCATTTACATTCCATCGGAGACAATTCTTGGGAAATGACACTCTTCACGGACTAAGCGATCTGAGGGGGTGTGAATGGAAAAGACTGCAGGAGTTCGCAAAAAACACGGAATTCCTAGATTCATAGGGAATCAAACCCAAAAGTTTTTCCCTTTTTTTAATAAACACTTCACTATTTCTTGATTTGTACTTTTCTCCGCGCATCTAGAGCGCACAACAGGCCTCATATGGCTTAAGTGTATGTCCTTCTCATGTTGGACATATGGTGGTATCATCCACCCCTCTTTTCAACCTAACCTAACCTTGTAATCTTTTAATATATATGTAATTGTAGTTCCCTGATGATTGGAGAATCTATCAAAATATTGGAAATAATAAATATTATTAAAAAATAGAAAATAAAAAAGCGTTTTTTATTAACAAAAGCCTAAAGCCAAACGAATCCAAAAGAAAAACCAAATCAGGCAAACGATACAAAATTAAAAGAAAACTACAATCAGCATTCACTGCAAATCACAAAACAATACTCCTAAGTTAATAAATCTACGGCCACATTACCACTCTACCATTTTCATAACAAAATTCGAAATCTCTTAATACAACACAAATCCAACAAACAAATCATTCGATACGTGGCAGAAATACTGATTAATTGAAGTGCGTTATGTGGCTATGGTGAAAAGTAGACCGATATCGGTAGCGAGAGTGTTTCTACCCAATGGAAACTCAAGGAAAAAAATTACCCCCATTTCACTTAATAAACGTCCAAAAAATCCCAAAAATACCGAATATGGGGTAAATATGGTACCGTTGTATGGGGGTTATACCAAAACGTGGATCACTTTCAACACCAAATTCTAAGTGTAATGACAATGTAAGTGCAAAATTTGAAAGCTGTATATTAAATATTGGTCTATAGTGATTTCAAAAGACAGTCGGAATATACATATACAAGAATATACATATAAACTTTGTGGGGGCTCCGGTGAATGTTTCGAGGTCTTGCAAACGGAATGATGAATTTAATATACATTCCAAATAATGGTGAAGGTTATAATAAACGTATGCATCAGTAATATATGCTAATATCCAAAAACGGAATGACTAATACGACCAAATTTTTATTTACAGTTATAAAAATCTGAAATCATGTGTCTATTACTTGAGAAATTAAGTTAGTATATCAAATGGGTATTATTTCGAGAAGGTATAGAATAAACTACAAGCCAACTATCACAAATTCCAAATATTTATGTTGACGACGCCAAATAGAAGATTTGGTATAACTTCCATCAAAAACATCTATATATATAAAAATGAATTTCTGTTTGTTTGTTTGTTTGATAAGTGTTCCCTATAGACTCCTAAACTACTGAACGGATTTTCATGAAATTTTCACAGTCGATTTTTGAGTACATTTGTGGTAACATAGGGTACTTAATTTTTTGATGGGGCAGGGGAACCAATAGCCCCCATACAAATTGTCCCTTTTTTAGATCAGAATTAGCCATGTTGAAAATAGGCAATGGTAAAAATGGCAAAATATAGCAACATTTTAGTAAATACACAAACCTCAGATATATATTTTCCAATGGTGGATATACGAGTTTACGTGTTTACTAAGTTCACAAACCACCTTTATGTAGGTGTTGCCAATTCACAATTTGTTTTAATGAAAATGATAAAAGTAGATATATCACAATCAAAAAAGTGATACTGATGACAGAATTAGTACAGTTCGAGTGCGAAGCGATTTCAATAATTTGGACTGTATACACAAATTAGTACTGTACACATATTTGCCCTCTTTATACCCTTCACCGCACTTTGGTACGTGGTATTATGTCATTGTGCATATGTTTGTAACAGGCAAAAGGAATCGAGGTAGACCCATGGTTCCTTTTGAGAATATGCATATAATCACTTTCTGAGTCGATTTAACCATGCCCGTCAGTCCGTCTGTAGATGTTAAATTGTAAACAAAGTACAGGTCGCATTTATAATCCGATTTGTATGAAATTTGGTACAGCTCATTAATTTGAACCAAGGACGAACCCTATTGAAATTGGGTTTCACCAATTTCAATAGGGTTCTTCCGGTTCAGATTTAGATATAGCTCCCATATATATTTTCGTCCGATTTAATGTAAATGGTGCACCAAAGTCCCTATATATCTTCGATTTGCACGAAATTTGGCATAGAATACTGAATTCAGTCTAGAATGATGTGTGTTAAGTTTCGTGCAAATCGGTTCAGATTTAGATATATCTCCCATATATATTTTCGTCCGATTTTATGTTATTGGAGCACTAAAGCCCCTATATATTCCTCGATTTACACGATTTTTGGTATAGTGTACTAAATTAAGTCTAAAATGATGTGAGCTAAGTTACATATACCTACTACATATATTTTCGTCCGATGGTGCACTAAAGAACCATATCTAGGCCGATTGACACAGCGTACTGAAGTTAAAATAAATTTATCTCTGGCAAGGTTCCTTGATATCGGTTCAGATATAGATATAGCATAGCGTCCATATATAATTTCGACCTATTCATGCTAATTGATAGAGATTAAATTTGAAAAGTGTAGCATATCAAATAGTGTTTCTCAAGTTTGCTTTAAATCGATTATCAAAATTTAGCATAGGCTGCATAATGACATGTGTAGGCACTGTTGTTAGTCTATTTACATATAGATATAGATGACATCTTTAAGTTCGTTCAATTTCACGTCAATGTTCCTTCGAACGTCTGATAGGATAAATATGTGTCATATACCCAAATTGATAACGAGTATCATATAGTCGGCACTGTCTGACTTTACTACTACTTAACATTACCCAAAAAATTGAACAGATTCTACTGAGATTTTCACAGAACGCCATGACATGCATTATGAATAACATAGGTTATATATACTTCTTCAGCGTGGATGCGGAGTTATCTGAGTAACGTGGGTGTAAATACGCATCCGTACGACAAGAGCGTGGTACGATGAAGGTAAAATTTACTCCTTATTGCATTTGAATCTATATATATTTATATAGAAAATATATTGTTTGTGGACCCAAAAAACACTGAACAGCTTTTACTTAAATGTCCATGCGTAACGCGATCCCATGGAAGTAACATAGGTTAGACAAATTTTAAAAGTCCGCGTGGATGCGGAATAATAGCATCAAAAGTATTTATACATCTGGATGAAAATACGGATCATCCGGACGATAAGGATATGTTTTGAAATACATAAAATTCATTGTATGTATATTGAAAAACAGTGTTTTTAAGTTTCAAGAAAACAAAATTTACCACCATTACAGAAAACCGCTATTAATTCAATAACTTTAATAATATTTCACACATTTTTTAGTGTTAAGCATAGAGCTTACAAAAATCCAGGGTTTGTCTAATCTTAAAATTAATTAATTAATTAATCTTAAAATTAGTTTAGCTGCTATTCAAATTTAACGTATATAACATTGGCAGGGGCAGCGAAGTGCCACGGGTCCAGCTAGTATTTATAATAAAACTCACAATATGAATTTATGTATGTACTCATATAATATAAATTTACATATTAAGATATCTCACATAATACTCACCATAACGTTAAATTTGTATATATTTTTTGATTCGTAATCTAACTTTTGTAAAAGTTGTATATTTCCAGTTAATGAATCAATTTGGAAATACTGATTACTGATGTCGTCCATGATTGTAAATTCTAAATTACTATTTTGTCCAACATCACCATCGTAGGCCTTGAGGGAAAGTAAACTAGAAATAAAATAAAATTGTAGAATACTTATTTCATTAGTATAATTTGTTAAAAAAATATACCTGGGAAAGCATGTTTAAATTTCAGTTAAGTTCTGCAATTGTAATTGTATTTTTTTTTTTAGAAAATCGAACAGTTCGGGTGAAATCATGTCGCTTATTACACGACCTGTTTATTGGGCCATCATAAGATTCAAAAACTTTGTCTCAAAAATAGAGTTTGACAGAAGTGCACCTTCCTTGAAATTTAAATTTTTAATTTTCACCATACGACCAGAACGAAAAGAACAAATAACTTCTTTTACAATTAAGTGGTTTGTGCACTTGAGTGTGTTATACGCATTTGATTTTCGCAGGGAAATGTTTTGATTTGAGCACAATTATTTTATCGTTATTTTGAGTTTACTTTTGCTTTGTTTTTTAGGAGTTTGTTTTTCCTAAAATAAAACAAATAACTATAAAATTTTTAACTTTAATACATATGTTTTCCTTTTCTTACAATGTAGGAAGATCTTTTCCTAACCTAGCACACACAAACCTCAATGTGTGTATATTCAATGAATATAGTCGTTTCCACGACAATGAACTGCACGATCTGAAACAAAACAACAAGAACCGAGCATAATTTGCCACTTGATAAATCTTGCACGATCACTTGCGAGTTTGGTATACCCCTTACTCACTCATACTCTAGCAATGATCGTGAATTTTTTTTGTTAGAGTATACTCGAGTGTAAAAAATACTTGCACTCGAAAGGCTTGATACTCAAAACATATGCGCTTATCTAAGTGGCGTACGTTTGTCTGTGGTTTGGTGAAGTTTCCTCCTCTCTAATCAAATTCAGAGATCTTAAGGGAACCCAGATAGATTTTTACTTTTTTATGACATTTTAGTTTTTAACAGCTCACAAGCTTTCGCGAACTTTTGTTGTTCCAAACGTTTGTGAAATGGTGACCATACGCCATATTTTTTAGAGGACAGTCATCTATTTTAACTGGCTGTCATCTATACAATGTTTGTTCTATTCTATTATCTGTCATCTTTGTCAGCTATATTTTTAAAACTTTGATTAAAATTTGTTACATATTTTTATAGTAAACTTATGACTACGTGATCTTTACATTGAAAACATTTAAATTACATTATTTATTTTACATATATAATTATACCCTACACAACTATGTTGTCAGGGTATTATAGCTATGTGCAGCCCCGAGAGATTGTAACGCCGCGAAATATTGGTCCTAGACTCACCTTTAAGCATACCGATCGTCATATCTCGACTAGCTGAGTCGATCTAGACCAGTGTTGGGCAAAATTAAATTGAGAGCAAGTGTGAGCGAGCGTAACTGAGAATGCACCATTAAAAACGACTGACGTAAAGAGAAAGAAAGAGAAAATGTATTTACCAATCGACCCCCAGTTACGGTAGCGTATGGGTAAGCATGCCTGATCTAGACATGTGTGTCCGTCCGTCTGTCCATTATAATTTGTAAACACGATACAGGGCACAGTTATGGACCAATTTTCACGAAATTTTGCATGTAGGATGGATTCTGCCCAATGAAGACCCATATTGTATTTGGTAAAGATCGGTGAATATTTAGGGGATGAAATGGACCAAATACCTAATTTTTGTCGGTTTTTCTGGTCGCTCCAGAGGCCCCAATTATGGCCCGAATATCAGGAAATTTTACATGGAGAAGGGGATCGGTCCAAAGAATAAGCATGCCTGCTTTGATAAAGATCGGTCAATATTTAGCGGGTCAAATGGGAAAATTAATTGAAAAATTGCAAAATGTGTATTCTTTAGGGAATATATTTACTCCTGAAGAACATAGACCCGAGAAGTTGATAGTATATCCAAGAGGAGTAGTTGACCTTTAAATTAATACCACTTATATTGTAGTATGTACTCGAATGTGGGAGTTACACTTAAATATTTGCAGGTACTTATGTATTCCGATATTATTTAGTAACCAATTACCACACTGGATTGCGGAAGTGTAGCGCTGAACGTTTTGAAATGTTTCATGAGGACCCAGTTATGGTCAAGGACAACGCCTGTAATTTTCGATGATGATCAGATAATAATTTTGGGATGAAGCGGACCGAAAACCTAATTTTTTGTGTGTGTTTTTTTCGAGGCGATCTATAGGCCACAATTATAAGCCAAACATCACAACACAACCCACTGTGAAGGGAATATGGACAAGTAATTAGAAGCACTGTTCTGAATATAAGTAATATTCGGAAAATATGTCAAATATGTCAGTGTAATAAAGAGGTGTTGTTGACCTCTAATCGGGCAAGAAGGCGTAACTATCACGAAATATTGCCCAGGCTCGGAATAAAAATCAGCAGAAAGTTAGAGTTCCGTGGTAGTTATGTAGGGTATCGTATGGTCGGCCCCGTCCGACTATACTGCTCCGCTCACTGTTTTTTTCTGCAAAAATCCAAGTAAATTGTTTAATTTGTTGTTGATGTTTTCTATTTTCATTTCCAAAATCTGGTCGCCTTAACAGTAGTTAATTTAGCGCAGCTGACTACTTGTGTAACTGTCAAAGTGCGCAGCTGACTTTTTGTTTTCTACTTGAATTCTAAGTGCAATCTTGAGAAATATTACTAGATAAAAATTTAAAAACAAATATTATTGCATCTTGTTGAATTCGATGTGCAATGTTGCCAACCATGGAAAATATTAATAAAATATGACAGATGGTCGGGCAAAAAACAAATGCTTTTGTTTTGATGCATCACCTTATTATTGCAAACGCTGGTTCACTCATTGTAACTTTACCACTCGCCATCTTGGTATACTCAGTAAGATAGCCGCATAGGCGAATTTTTACTACAAATAACTATTATTGCAAAAACAAAACGATTCATAAGATTTTTTACCCAATTTTATTTAGAAAATGGTAGTAATTGTATTGTCGGACAAGCTCTTCAAAATTCGGAGATTTTAACTTATAATGATCCTTTTTTACTTGTTGGTTTTAAATTACTACAACATTTTTGCCATTTATTTGTTCCAACAGCTAGGCTGATGCGGCTACATTATTAAATCTGCTTGCACGCGATAAATTGAAAACAATCGAATTCTCGCCGTGAGTATTTGTGAGAAATAGCGAATTTTAATCGTTATCATTAACTCGAAAATCAGGTTTTTTTGAGTTATGCCTTTCTTGCAGCAAATGAGCGATATATACTTCCAATAGATTTCAAAAAGGCTTTTGGTCGTGTTGGTACTCATGTCATACTCGATACATTGATATCGAAGGACTGTGGATCAAAGATGGTAAACTTTATAAAATATTTTTAACCGGTCGAACCTTTCGAGCTAATATTAATAACTACATCTCGCAGATATACACATTAAATTTTGAACAACTTAAGGAACACCTCTCTCCGTAAATCTTTTGCAAATAGTCTTCAATAAAATCAGTCCCATAATTAACAAGTATAATAAAATTGTTCTGTGCCTATATGCCGATGATGTGTGCATATAGAGTCAAAAAAGAAACAAAAATAACACAAATGATACATTTTCAAAAATAATCACAGATAGTATGAATTGGTGTACATTTTCTCGTGCAAATATACCGTCATTGTCATATAGTAAAGCTCAATCATCTTAAACACAAACATATGTATGTATTTTTTGTATCCGATTTTGATTTTATACCGGTTTGTTTTACAAACTTTCAAGCATTGGATTATCATCTAAAAATAATTCGAATTTTACATTTATTGTACGAAAATGCTGAAAGCAAGATTTGGAATGGTAATCAAACATATGTATGTATTTTTTGTATCCGATTTTGATTTTATACCGGTTTGTTTTACAAACTTTCAAGCATTGGATTATCATCTAAAAATAATTCGAATTTTACATTTATTGTACGAAAATGCTGAAAGCAAGATTTGGAATGGTAATCATTTTTCGACGTCGTTTCCAGTTCAATTTGGTGTTATCCAAGTCCATTATTGTTTTCCTTGTATTTAAGTGATCAGCTAAATATTCTTACTGGAGGAGTCAGTGTAGCAAAAACATATATTATATATCTTGGACTACAAGATATGATTAATGTGTTAATATCATATTGTCTAAAGAAGTCTAAAAGTTAACCTAGAAAATCGAAAATAATGGTGTTTCGTAAAGGTGCAATATTTTCTAGAAACCTAAACTGACATTTCGGTGATTAGATAATTGGTCAATTCTTACAAACGTCATGGCATTTAAAAAATAAGCTTTGTCCATCAAAAATAGCTATAAACTCAACTTGGTCCAAATATTTAACAAACAAAAACATAAAACGAATAGGTTGAAAAATTGATTCGTTTCTTCATAAAAATAATTCTATTTTTATCAGAAAATAGACCGATATATATGCTTCACATATAATCTGGACCATTAAATCATTAAAACTGCATTTCGATTACATTAATAAGAGTATACGCTTCAGTTCGCAAAGATTACCGCGTATATTAGCTGAAGAGGTTATACATTTAAACATCTGTTGGGCTGCAGATTGGTCTAGCCCTTGTTCTTTCGTTCAGTTTTATCACCCGTTAGATACTGTCCCAATTTGTAGAAAAGAAAGGTTAGAATTACTAATCTTTAAGGAACATCAAAATGTCTGTCTTTCCGCGATAAACTCACAGCATGACGATATATACTGCCAATTGAATTACGAAGTAAAGCCTATTAAATCAACCCAACTTTCTTCGCGTGCCAATAGTCTAATCTGTAAAGCTAGAGGCGGTATGAAAGATGTTTCAGAAATGAAAACTATTACAACTGCACTTTCATCAACATTTGCATATTTTAACATTTTGTATATTTTAATATGGCTGTTATGTGGTTAAACGAAGTTTGTAGGATCTTAAATGGCTCCGAATTTGAATCATTGTGAAAATATCTTGAATGTTCTATTAAGTACGGATATATTTAATTTTATATGCATATATTTAATTTTAAAGGAATATAAAATAT